GCCTCAGGATGAACGGAGAAGCGGTGCCTCGATGCGCACCCAGGATCCGAACCCGGGCCACCAGCATCGCAGCGCGCGCACTTAACCACCAAGCCACAGGGCTGGCCCAGGAATGTTTGTTTTATTATTTGCTTCCCATACATCGTCTAATTTAATCTTCACCAAATTCTTCAAGGTAGGCTCTATTCTAATCCCCACTTTGCAGATGAGTTAATTGAGATTGCTGAGGTTAAGGACCCTGTGCCAAATCACACAGCTAGCAGTGAAGGGCTGCCTGCAGAGCCCACGCTCTTTATCTACTAGGCCTCCTGGGAAACACCATTATGGGCAGGTCACTTGTTCTCCCTTCAGTTACGGATGGCAAACCAGGAGGAAGCGCTGCCTGGGAGAGTTTTGCCCCTTTCCCTGCACCAGCCTTCACTGTGTTCAAATGGAGTGCACATCCGAGGGGAAACCTCTTTGGGCCTCCATCTCTAAATGAGGCAGGCTGTAGCACTAGACCTCCGAAGGCTGAGCTCTCCCTGGGCTGACATTCTGTGATTACTGAACACTGGTGGAAGAGGGGGGAGCTAATTGAGTGAGTTAGTAATTTGGTTGCCAGGGTAACTCTTCCCTGATTGGAAGGAAGGGATCACAGGGTTCCACACAGACTTTGCTGGATAGGAAAGTGGTGTCTGATCTTCGCTCCATGTTTCTGCTTCTGAGCTGGAAAAGGAAAGAGCAAAAAAGGGTAAAAACTGAATCCAAATATTGTAGCATTTATGCCTGATTTAGAATGAAATCTTGGGGTGGCAGACTGGAGTTCTCTGTGAGGTGTGGCATTCTTTTCTCCACATCATTCAATATTTGCCAATTTCTGTGTTTTAATGTATATTTTTTTCATTGAGTTTATAGCTTTGGTCTTTTATCTCATCCAGGCCATTTTCTGTGGCCAGCTGTCTTCATAGAATGCTGAACATTTTCTAAGAAAATGGTTATGGCATACCTGGCTCTCCCTAGCTCAGCCTAGGGATCTGGGGCCTGATTTTCTAGGGTTCCAATGGCAGGGCCACCATGTTGCACAGCTGCAGGGGTATTGTTCACATTGTAGTATATGTGTTGTTAGACTATATATGATGCTATCAGGCTATTGGAAAGAGGCCTGAACTGGGAGCCTGGGTTCTAGACTCTGTTAGGCCTTTGACTTCATAAATGACTTTAGTAGGTCGCTCTGTCCTGCCCCCTTCCTGGACTACTTTTTCACCTATAAAATGGTCTAATAACCTTAAAAAAATCATTTATGTAAACCTTGACTTATTCCAAAAAAGGATTTTGGGGTGACTAGTAAGACCTTGCAGGACTTTTTTTTTGGCTGAGGAAGATTCGCCCTGAGCTAATATCTGTGCCAATCTTCCTCTATTTTGTATGTGAGTGGCTGCCACAGCATAGCTGCCGACTAGTGGTATAGGTCTGCACCTAGTGGAGCTGGGAGCTGGGCTGCTGAAGAGGAGCGTGCTGAACTTAACCACTAGGCCACGGGGCCGGCCCAGCATTTTAAAAAAGAGAGGTGGTTATAGGGTTATAGTGCATTTAAAGTGTCTGATAGTGGGCATTAGTTTTCTCAGGCTTCCTTTTTTAAGGAGGGGGTTGTCCTGCGTGAGCCCTATGGTTGGGTCTAGCCTTAACCGATCATTACAAGAAGCCAGAACAGTTGGTGGCATCTAATCATGGCCAATTTGGCCCTGGATTACTCCTGAACTTTTGACCTCTGGGAAATCCCACCTCAAATAAGAAACAGGGCTGAGGACCTCAGGGCTACTCCAATGATGGGGAAGTCAGCACCTGACCAGTTTCCTCCTGCTCAGCGCCCAGGTTCGTAGCCCACTGCACTATTGAAGGCTCCCCTTCCTCAGTTTGTGGTAGCGCCTCTGTAATCACCCTCCCCTTGCTGGGAGGTACTGGACTGAGCCCCCCACAACCCTCTCTCAGCAGATTGCAGGAAATGGCTGGCTTGGTGTGTTCTGGAAGTACTTCTCAGAGCCCATCAGGGTCTGTGCGTGTATCTGAGAGAGAGAAATGGGGAGGTGTAGACAACAGACGTTGAGTCCAGAAGGGAGTTAGAAGGTCAGGACTCTAAATTTTTAGGATCATGGCATGCCCTTGTTTTATGAGAAACTGAGGACCCTGTCGCTTGGTTACCAAGGGACAGTCCTGGGAAGAAAGAGGTAGGAACTAGAGACTGTTCATTTCCAGGATGTGCCAGTCATCACGAACCCTTTTCTTCATCATCTCACTTCTCATCTGTTCTACAGATGAGGAAACCGAAGCCCACAGAGGTTGAGCAACTTGTCCAAGATCTCCATTTAATAACTGGACTTAACCCTGGATACCCTGGTTGCCCAGCATGGCTCCATCCTGGAGGGAATAGATTGAAGGAACTTAGAACAGGAGGGATAGAGACGGGCTGCTCCTTCGTCACCGCTTAGGAAGAGAATGGCAGCAGACGTGCCAAGGGCAAAGAGAGGAGCCCCTTATGCGCTCCCAACCAGCTTTCCCACTGCAGTTTTGCATCCTAAGCAGACCCTAAGCAAGAGCTGCCCTAGCCTAAATGGCCACCATGTGGGACAAGTCCACTTCATGACCACAGTAGAAAGAAGAAAAAGTGGTAAGCCTCCCAGTCTGCAGTGACTGACTGAGCTGATGTCCTTTGCTAGAACAGTAAGAGGCAGCTTCATAAAACATCTCCATCACCAACTAGTAATCCAAAAGGCTCTAAGGTTTTAGTGAATGGGATGGGTCCAAAATCTGACCTCACTTTCATTTAATTTCATGCCAGCACCAATACACACCCAGCCGCGCAGACCCTGTCTAACTAGTGAGCTGCTCAGACACAAAGGCGCTCTAATTACCATCCACAAGCCAGGCTGACGAGGATTTCAAGTGTTTTCATGTTTATGGAGATCAGAGAAATGTGTTTTGTGCATCTTTCCCACCGATGGCAAGTATAAAATAAAAGCGAACCAAAACCCCAACACATTTATTAAAAACAGATATTTCAGTTAAGTTAAAATCCTATAATCAGGATAGCCACAATTCCAGACACTCCGGTGCGAAGTGTAGATATGTCAACAGCCGCATCTGGATGATGAACAAGCCATTGAATCTTATAAAACCAAAACACTAACCAAACGGTCTTAGATCCCTCAGAGGGAGTGAACAGTATGTTACAAGCACTTCACCACGGTTCACAATGGCAAAGCCTGCAGCTTCTCCATTTGGAGGGTCACGTTTTCTACTCGGTTTCCTTCACTTACAAAGGCGAGCTGGCATGGCTGGGGGAGGGGCAGAGAGAGGAAACCAACTCCGTCTAAGCAGGGAATTGCAGCTGTTATTGCAAATGGCCCCGGAGAGCCCATTATAAGCTGCAGTGCGAGGCCGTGCCTCCCTGGAGTGCCAGTCACGTGATGTCTCCCCAGCCCCCAGGAGCGCCAGCGCTTGAGTGGGGCAGCAGAGCCGAGGGGGAGAGGAGGGATCCGAGGCCATGTCTCGGAGCAGTTTCCGTGAAAGCTCGGGGAGCGGCCGCCTGCTGGAGGCACCGGCGCCGGGCACGTCCCCGCCTCCCTATACCCGCGGTGGTGGCGGTGCGCGTGTCCTCAGGAGACTCCAGCACTTGCAAAACACCGCGCTCTTCTCCAAGTAGAGGCGCAACCAGACGACTCTTCTACCCTGCTGAAGCCCCGCAATCCCGTGTGCGCCCAGGAAACAGTGACCTTGAACCCAAGGAGGGGCGGCTGGCTGTGAAGATACTTTAAAGAGGACGGAGGGTTCACTCCGCGCCTCAACTTACTTTTCCCCAGCACCGCCCGCCTCCGCCTCCCATCCGCACCCGGGGCGCACCGTTTTCCACTGCCACGCTGAGAACCGCAGCCAGTTGCAAAGCAGGGACAGATAAAAGGTTACTCCTTTTCAACTCCCAAAAACGTCCTTTCAGGGTACCGCGTGTTTTATACTAAGAACCAGCACCCTAAAAGACACGAGATGGTTTTAAGCGTCGTAAATTTTCAAGTCTGCTAGTTTAAGGTACTCCCTGAAATGATCGTCTACTCATGTTCTCCTTCAACGTGGATCAGGAGCTAGCCCTGAAAAGGTAAAGCAAGTAACTGGGATCCTCCACGTCCTCCAGGCGCTTGGCGATCCTGAGAAGCATGGACTGTGGCCACATGGTCGCCAGGCTGGAGGGCCCTGAGAGGCTGCGTGGAACTGCACGCTGCGCCACCAGGACTGATCACGCCAAATAAGGAGTCCTACTGACTGTGAGCTTGGGGTGCGCTCTGTAATCTGCCTTAAATAGGGCCAACCAAGTCCTGTTTTCAAACACACCGGGGCCCTCGACCTCAGTTCCCCGGGAAAATATTCGCGATTTTTCGATTTCTCGTCGTCATAAGCTTATTTTCCCGGTTCCAAAAGCACGAGTCTGAGTAGGGATACAGTCCTCAAGGGAACCCCTTGCCCTCCAGGCAGAGGCTGCTGCTGTGGCCATTCCCGCGGTGTTAGCTGCCGGGGACAAGAACACCGTCCCCAGTTTTGAGCTGCGCCCTCCTGCCGGACGCGCCAGGGTCGCTGCAGGCCGCGCGAGGGCTGCGGGGCGAAGGGGGCTCAGGTACTGGGGCCGATAGAGGCTCCAGGAGCTGGCGTTGGGGAAGCTTTGCGCGCAACTGCAGCCGTCGCGAATGAAGCCTCCGCACGGCCTCCTTGATGAGGTTCCCCGAGAGCACGAGCTGCTGCAGGAGCCGGTGCGGGTCGTCGTCGCCGGTGCGGGCTTCTGGCTGAGGCCCGCGTCGCTGCTGCAGGCGGCGGGAGGCGGCGGCGCCCCGCAGCCATCCTCGCCGGCACGGGCCCGACAGCGGCTGTGGGGCACTCCGCTTGTCGCCTCCCGAAGGCCCATCAAGGCCAGGCTGAGGGGGTAGTGGGGACAGCGCGCAGGGGCCTGCGGCGAGCTCGGCCACAAAGTAGGGCGCAGCCCGGCCCCGCACGCGGCCGCGGTCCCCGAGGGCGCAGCGCAGGGC